CATTTGTAAATATGAAACATTGTACTTGGCTAATTTTAATAATATTTGCATAATTTTGACATTAAATAGATAACTTTAAAATACTTGGTATGAAAATAGCTCTCATAATTTTAAAATGTATCACATGAAATATTTTGTGCATTTGGTTGTTGCATGTAAAATAATTTTTTATGAGCAATATTTTTATAATTTCTGATTGCTGTTAAATAAAGTATAAAAAAAGAAAAAAAATTATAATGATCTTATATAATTTGTTTTTATGTATAGAATAATACCGATTTTTTTATAATATTACATTCTTGTATCATGTTATTAAAATAAATATAAATATATTTATTAAATTCAAGGAGGAATTATATTTTATAATTTCAAGTTTTGGATCTGAGATTCGTTATGATTTGCTTTATATTTATAATAAATATTTTTTTAGCATTTTAAGCATTTATTGTTTTAAATTTTAAAATATTGAGAAATTCCTTAATGTAGAAGAAAACTAATTTTGACTTTTTAGAATAATGAGCAATTAAAGTTATTTCTCTATAATTACTATATTATTATTCTTTTACATGTTTTTAATATTGCAAACGATTTATAACAATAAGTGTTAATTATCACAAAATTACTAAACTAAATTAATATTTTTTTAACTAATGAACTTATAAACCTTTTTTTCAAAACAACAACATTAACATGAGAAAAAATTGTTATATGCAATAATGTAAAATTATTAGATAGTGAAAAGTATATAATATAAGACAAGTGTTTTCTAGACTTAATTATTTTTAAAAATAATTCTGTTTTTTGTGTTGTTATTTGAATAAATGTCTGTACAAAACCTTTTTTGTTTACTATTATAAATATTTTGAAAAATATTAATGCCCAAATACTTTCTTCTTTCTTTCTAATTTTGTTATATATATATTTTTTTTGAGTTATTTTAACATCAAATTTCCGGAACTGTGTTATATTTTTTTTTGTTAATAATTTATATATTTCAGATATGTATTATATTTTTTTGTTAATAATTTTATATATTTCAGATATTTATTACATTATTTTTTTTTCATTATATTATGTAATTGTATCCAATAAAGAAATCCTGAACTAGGACTTGTAACGTATAAAAGACTTAATAAAATTATTTAAAAAACAAAAAATAATTTTTACAAAACTTTATATCTCGTCGAATAGGATGGACATTTAAAATTTATCTATTAATTATAATTTAAATAAATTAGGTTATTTAAAATTTTTATAATTACGAATATTTCTCTATTATTATTCTTTTTAATATTAAACGATTTATGGCAATAAGAGTGTCAATTATCACAAATTACTAAACAAAATTAATATTTTTTTGCTTTAATTTTTGTTATCTAATTTAAATTAATAGTACTTTTTACTTCATGTCATTAACATAATTTTATTTTATATTATTTCACTTAATGTAATGTTTGTGTTTAAAATGAGTTTGCATTTATATTTTATTAATTTTCATTTTATCAGTCATTTATACGTTGTTTTTATTCAATTTTAAACATTTTAAATTAGATGTAAAAAAAATGTTTAACATTATAATATTTTGTTGATAATTTTTATATAAAAAAATATTTAATACCATCGCCAAAAATTTAATACTAGAATATTTATTAATTGTAGCTTTATTCACTGAAAAAATTAGTTTTTCCAATTTGCTAATAATTTATAAATGGATAGATAACTGAGTAATAAACTTTATTAGATGACTGTGTAATGAGAGGATTAACATATGATTTTAATTATTAAAGGGTAAAATTTAATTAGTTATGTCGTCATCTAACGGCGTGCTTTTACAAATAACCAAAATTTGGTAGAAGGAGCTTTTGACCCGCCATTTTGAGCTTTTTAATTTTATTCTTTATTATTATGTAAATTATATAGTTGTTAATAATATATGGCTAAGACAACATTGGCGTTTCATTTAAGTTTATTATACAATTTATTTTATTAGAAATGTATATTTGTTTTTTCTAACGATTTATAAATGGATAGATGACTGTATACTAAACTTTGTTTAGTATTTTTAAAAATCCCTATAGATGAGTCAGGATATAAGATTACAGAGAAATTATTTTCAAAATACCCAATGTAAAAAATATTCAAATATTAGACTAGCCTAGAACCAAAATTTTAATTAATTCAAACCCCTAAAAATTTCGTCCCATCTCATCCTATTTCCCCATTTCTCATAAAACCGAAAAGAGGCAAATTTTTGGGAACGTCTTCTCTGAATTCATTCCATATTATTTTTAAAAGGCGACGCCGGGACTCAATTCTATACAATGTAGTTCCTAGTAGGTAGGTTTATACCTAGAAGAAACGCAATATAACATTTCCGAGAAATCTTGATATTGTGCTAAGGTTAGCCGTACTAAAAATACACAAGAAAAACTCAACACCATCATATAAATATACATATATACATATATATTATATTATATTACCTCTACCTATACACATTCGACTCGAATACAATTCACGAGAAATTGGATGTACAGTTAAAATCCTATTATAAATGTAATAATAAAAGATAATATGATTTTGAATTGTACCTGAAGATGGATTATTATATTAGAGAAGGATGATTTTTCAAATGTTTAATACCCAATTAGTGGTTTGTTCAGACTGACTTTAGATTTGCCAATGGTATTATTGTAATACAAATGTGGAATTTTAATTTATTTATTCAAGTTTCTTCTCTGTAAATATTTTTATTTGCAAATATTTGTACTTTATAAAAGTAGAATAATAAATATTATTATATACAAAGGTTCAATGCAATTGTTTTTTTATATAGACAAAGTAAATATAATGAATGAATATAAATTTCGAATTTTTTTATTTATTTTAAATTGAGAACTTGCAACTTGTATTCATATTATTCTATTAATTGTATTATATAATTTTTTTTCTTGCACATAAATATTGACAGGGACCAAAAATACGTCTTAAGCGAGAAATGATATTACACCTATGGTGTATTAAGCGGGATATTGCTATAAGCATTAACGTCTTAACGAGGTTCAACAGAAGTTTATTTATTTATTCTTAAATAGTTAAATTATAAAATTTTGTTTGTTATTCAAAAATAAATTTAAAATTACGATTTTTTTGTTATAAAAATATTATATTTATGATACTATATTATTTTATGTTATAAATTTATTTTTAGGTGTTTATATATACATAACTATTTCATTTACAAGAAATTTAGCACTTTAATATTTTATATGTATCAATTATATTAAAAAAATTTGATTGTGCTATAATTTCAGAAAGAAAAAATCCTCAATTTAAAATTTTTGTTTAATAAATAAGTAAAATAATAATATTGATAATAATATAAAAATTAGTTAAAACCATAGATAAGATAATGTTTACTATTTAAATTTTACATTCAGATTTTTAATTTTAAAATTCATATATTTAAATATATTTAAAAATGTTGGTTGATATTAAATCATTTTTACTTAATAAATAAAATAATAATTTCCATATTTATTTAAACATAGAATTTTTTAAATTTCATATTCATATTTTTATTATTAAATTAATTTAAAAGTTTTGGTTTCAACGAAATTATTAATCAAGCTAATTTTAAAAGTATAAAGGCCAATTTTATGTTTTTATATAAAAATCTTATTTAAATCAAAAATAGTTTTTTTGAAATAATTAATGAGAAATATTAATTAAGAAAAAAACATTCAAGCAATATGAGTAAATTTTATTAATAAAAAAGTTTTTAAAAAAATAATGATCATTAAGTTAATTATAGTTGAATTTAAAAGTATTATGTTTATTTATATAAACAAATATATAATATATTGCATATTGTTAATTAAATTTATTTATTTAAAATAATTTAATCTGTATATTAACAGTAAATAATATTTTGAACTTATAATTTAAATTAAAACGTATAATAGTTCAAACTAGTTAAAAAAGTACCTGAATTTAAAATAATTCAAGTTTCGTCTTCAAAAAAAAAAATTTAATACATTAAAATTATAGATATTATTATTAGAGATAGTTTAACTAACATACGAATTCAAAAACAAATTCATAATATGTTAGTTTATTTAAAATAATTCAATTTCTTTACCAAAGCTCGTGCAAAAAAATCTTTATTTTTGCAAAGTTTTGTAAACATAAACTATGAATACATTTAAAATTTTTTAATATAAAAATAAATAAACAAATTGAATAATACTAATTAAATAGATATAATTTCAAATAAAATTAAAATTTTAAATTTTAAATTAAAAGAGCTGGGGTGAACAAATTGAATAATTTTAATTAAATAGATATAATTTTAAATAAATAGATATAATAAAAATGTGTATAATACTTTGATATAAAAAAGAATTAAATACATTAAAAATGCTTAAAAAATATAATATATTCAGTGCCTGAATAACAAATTAATTCAGAGTTCGTTGTCCCAAAAATTTTCTTAGTTAGCTTTTTGAATTAATTTTTTTTTAAATATAGAGAAAAATCTCTATTTTCACAGTTTTTATGGATATGAATAAGTTCTGAATTTTTAAATTTGTATTAAAGAATAAAAAAAAAATTGACAGTTGACTGAAAAATATAATTTTTTTTTTATTCTCTTTTCCCGTTATTTATAATATTAACAATATTTGATTGATAATTATATAATCTTATTATAAATTCATTTCTTATAAATAATGACTAAGTTATTTCAATTTTTTTTTATCAGGAGAGTTGATGACTTAAATCTTCAAATAATAAATTTAAAGCGCAAAATAATTTTAAAAATATTGTTCTTTTTAAAGATTTATCTTAAATTACGCACGACCATGACGCTTGTTTGCAACAAGGTACACGCAACAAGGTCAAAATTTCTCTTCCCAGGAAACAAACCACAAATAAAAAACTCATTTAACAAAAAATATTTCATCTTAAATAAATGATGAAAAACTTAAACAAATCCTCACCTTATTTATTCCTCGTGATAAATTTAAAGTAATTAATTTAAAATCCTCACTGTATCCATAACACTTGTATCCAAATACAAACACATCACCACTTCACTGCACAAAAACCAAAGAGAAAAAATCAATTTTACAACAAACTGGTAAAAGTCACTTGTAAAATTAATTTAACCATATGTTAAAAACCACTGTTTTAGAACACTGACATAGAATAAGCACGCTTAACCTCGAACAAGTCTTTTTGGTATTTAAACATTAAATCTCCCTCCCGGGTCCAACATACAGATTCATCTAAACAACTTTCATCATATGTCTATTACTACTAAAAATAATTTTCACTTCAATTGAATACTGTTTCTAATTTTATTCTATTTCTATTTCTATTATTTTATTTTTATTCCTTTATCGGTCGAACAGACACGCACAAGTACGTCCGTCCGCCTCGGATTCTCTTCGCGTTCTAACTAGAAGTGAATTTGAGTTTTCAGTTAGTGATGTGATCGCGACACGCGAGTTCGAGTCGGCCCCGACGACTTCACGAGTACACCACTACACCAGTATATTTTGTACACCAGTACAAAAGCAGCGGCAGTGTACAGCAGATGCACATGGAACTAACACGAAAAGGCCGACGTCGTCAGCGAGTAGCAGGGGTGGTCAAGTGGAAAAAGAGTAGGGTACACATTTGGGGAAGTTGGTTTATGGTATGGATGCCTTAAGGCAAATCGCCGGAACTTACCATACCAGAAACTAAAATTTTTAACAAAGTTTTAAATTTTTTTGAAATATTTGAAAATATTAAATTCTTGAGAATTTTAAAAAAAATGACTTGTTTCAAAAATTTGATTTTTGAAGTGAAACTTATTCAGGCGCGGCTAGGGTGTAAATCCGTACTAATGCAACGGAAGTCCGTTACGCCCACACTTCTCGTCATTCGCTCTCAATGAGATCATTTCTATATGGGTCGATTGTGATAAGTCGTCGTGTATGTGAATAAAATACTGTCGTTGTATGCGTACTGACATCAACGTTATATGCGTACCGATATCGGCTTAGATAAATAAACATTTTAAAATTACATCGTAGTACAAATCTTAATTTAACGAAAAATGCCTGAATCAAAAGAATATTTTAGCCTGTTCCTTGAAAATAATAAAACAAATTAAACATTTGTGCCCTGTACTAAACGTAAGTTTATTGATTAGAAATTATTACTATATTATTCGTAGTTTCTATAAATCTTTGAAGTTATTGAAATGGAAAATATTTTTTAGACAAAACAGATTTTATAGCTGTTCAAGGAATGAGATTATATCGTCAGCGAAAAAAAAAATACAACCAGTCAATGAATGTATGTTAATTTTAATTACATGAAGTTCTTCAAAGACAATTATTTAAAAAAACATTATTACATGAGTGAAATTGTGAAAACAATATTTCTTTAGACGTTGTCTTACATAATCCACGTGAGGAAGTGATGTGTATAGTAAGATATCACTTGTATATATTTTTCACCTGGCAATCAAAAATTTTACCATTATTTTCGTAACTAAAAATAGATGTGATGTTTGATGGGGGAGGGGGTGTACTGCCAAAATGGATGGAGGGGGGTAAAAAAATCCTTTAAAAATCGATCACGTGATTAATCGTCGACAAAAAATTGTATCCATAAACACATACAAACACCAGAGTGCAGAAAATGCAAATAAAATTGTTGAAGGAGCGAAGCATCCGATTTGAATAATTCAAAAAACATAATTTGTATTGACGTAATGAATAATTTTTTAAATCTTTGCAAGGGCAGGTAAAACGATTTCAGATATACAAAAAAATAAAACAATGTCATTTGGCGGTCAAATATCAGATTTTTTCGATAGTATGGACCAACCGACATGAATAGGTATCCCAAAATTTAAGAAAATTCAAAATTTTCAAAAAATTGGCAATATGAGTATTTTCAAAAATTTTAAAATTTTTCATAATGAATACTTCAAATGAATGAATATGTTTCCAAAATTTTCAAAAAATTTGCAACTTTCAGTTTTTAAAACGTTTCCAAGTTTTCAAATAATATCAGTATTTTCAAAAAATTTCAAATTTTTCATTATTAATGCTTATTTTTAAAGGGTAGTTTCTTAGTACTTATATATGGAGCTCATCTCTTCTTTCTCCAACTTCTCTAATATTTTTCTATCAACTATCGTTCATAGATAAATTATGTTTATAATTTTATAAAAATGTAGTAACCGATATTCTATTTTTACGCCAATTATCTATTATCCACTTGGTTAAAATTCACTTCCATCATGGGTCAAAGCAAAATGTTAAAGTCAAACCTGAACAAGGTCAAAAACCTTAAAATAGATTTTAATTAATTCTACATTTAAGGAGAACACATTAAATGTATGCACATATTTGAATCGCAAATACAATTTAACATTTAATTATGACGTAAATGAAACCATTTCCTACTTTAAATATTTTTGTAGTAAAATTGAAATATCAGTAAAACAAAAATATCTTTTAAATATTATTTCTTAAAAAAGATACAAAATTCATATATTGCACATAAAGTAGTAAATAGTTCCAAAAAAAGTACCTACTTAGAATAAAACAGTTATGTAGAGATACCTGTATAAGAAAATTACCTGTAAGTTGTTGACACCTTTTTTAAAAAAATAAGGGTAGATAGATATACGGTAGTAAAATCCAGTTTTATTGCATGTTTTTAACAGAATGAAAGGTGCATGCCGTTTGTAAAATAATAGTTTAATAATATTAGTACAATATCCGACATTATATTTATTTTACATGAGCCTTTATGATACCCGAGATCAGCAATTTCTATACAAGTAATACTTCAGATAAGTCAATTCTAAATTTAATTATGAAAATATTTTGGAACTCTAAATTTGAGCCAAAATATTTAAATTAAATTTGTATACACTTATTTCAATAAGCTTCAAAATTGGAATTAAAACTTCTCTCTAAAATCAACTGAACATTTTCGTAAGAATTCTTTGAAGCAAAATATCTTTTAGCTTAAAAAAATTAAATTTGAAATTTATAGACAAATACAAGCCTTTAGCCGATATTTAGAATCTGGCATAAAAATTTGAAGTACTTGCTCAAAATATAAAAAAATGTAAATTCTAGCATTGTCTCAAATCATAAATTTTATAACTGTTTTGGAATATAGTCCTTTTTATATTTTACAAATATTTTACCCATTTTATGGAGGGCAACAATTGTAAAAAGTTACAGGTGCAAGATAATGTAAACAAAAATGTAAAAAATAGAAATAAACAAAATAATAAGAAAGAAGAATATAAATTAGAATTACTTTGGTGAAATCTTGCAATATACAAAAGTAAGATATAATTACTAAGTTCAGTTTCTTAATAACTACATATATAATTCAATTTTTGAAATTATGCTTTTTTGAAATTTATGAAAAATTCAATTTTTTTGATATTTTGAAATTTTTTCAAAATTTTGATTTTTTTTCAAAGCATTGAGCTTGAAAGCTGTTTTAGAGACGAAATATCGAAGTATAATGTGTAAACAATATAAAACTTCTTACAAAACCCACATATATAAAATTTGTACATTAGAGATTACTAAAATCTCCAAAACCATAAAATGTTTTTAAATCATTCACATCGGACGCTCCGTTCTCTCAAAAACTGAATTACAATTTTTGGCACTTCTTGCTTTGTATCTCCAAAACGACTGGAGCTGTCTTTGCCAAAAACTAAAATAAAACACGTCTCCCCATCAATAAAAATAGAATGTTTTTCAAATCATTCAAATCGGTTGATATATGCTCTCGAAATTCGTCGACGAAAAATTGTATCCGCACATAGATACTACGAACACACACATACATAAATCCATATTTTTATATATACATACACACACATACATAAATCCATTTTTCTAAAGTATGCCAAAATGTTCAGAATGTCTTGAAACGTAAAAATATGCAGAAAATTGTAAATTTCGCTATTTCAAGATAGCGAAAATCCTAAACCTTTCCATTACTATCATTGACACCAAACCCACCATTTCCACATATGTATACATATATGTTCTCTTTCTAAAAATGCGTGATGCACGATCACGAACATGCGTGACGTATATAGTCGTCGTACCGTTTGCGCATACGTACTAGCCGAATCCGAATCCGATTCCGAACATAGAATCGAACGAACCGACGAAGTTATAGGACTGAATCAGCTGTTGTAATTGTATAAATTGTATATGTAAGCGAAAACGATCCACTACAGTACAATGTAACTACTATATATATATATGTATGAACACAGATATAATTTTAGCCCGTAGGTTATGGACTCACGAATAGCTAACGTTCGGCCAGACACAGACATTCGACTAGGACAGATCGATAAACTCACAATCAGCCATATTGGGAGTTATTTATATGATAGAGTGTATTTAGAATTGAATGCACTAGTAGGTAGGAATATATTTTTGAAGTAAAACTTCTTTATGCACACTTGATTTGGCGAATGAGCCGACAGGAGATGAGAGCGTTACGACGAGTCTAATCAGACGAATGGGTTAAGAAAGAAACTTAAGTCAAGGAAGATAGGAATAGGATAGGATAGAAATAGTAGAGGTAGTAATGTTATAGCTAAACCATAATAAATTTGAGATAGGATCCAAAAGGAGAAAAATGAAGTATGTTTCTTCGAACAAGTTTACATTATTGCATTGAGTCAGCGCCTACTATGATTTGTAGAGACCGCTTTGCTTTTAAAGTTTTATGTTCGATTTCTTCCAATAATAAATGGGGTACTTATATACAGATAGACCACACTTCGTTTGTTATTTTGCTATAAGTTTAGCATTAGTAGTTAATTACCAGCAATTAGTTTTGTTTTATGCGACATGTATATGTTGTAACATGTATTTCTTGTTCTTTTTGGGGTGAAGATTGAATAGATGAAGAAAAACCTAACCTAAATAAGACAAGTCTTCAAATTACCATTTGATTTATTTTTCTTCCAGGTAACTAGTATATTAACAAAATTATTGCTGATTTAAAAAAAGGTGGCACAACCGTACCCAGTCCTCTTTATCTGGATAGATGGATAAAAGATAATATTTTTGTGGTATTAACTTCCAGAAAGATAATTTATAGTAATCGCAAAAAAAAATGAAAATTTTCATATATCTTTACGTTTCAAAGGTTTCTGAACATTTTGGCATATCTTAGAAAAAATGGATTTATGTGTGTGTGTGAGTGTGCGTATGTGTGCGTGTGTGTGCGGATACGAAATATCGTCGACAATTTCGGGAACACGGGTCAACCAATTTGAATAATTTAAAAAACATAAAAAGTCCAATTTTTCAAAAAGGTCATTTTTTTCAAAAGTTTTACAAAATCACAAAAATCGTTATTTTCAGAGT